TGACCAGGGCACGTAGCCAGGGCGGGGGAGTGCACCTGAGACCTGGGGAGCCCACGCCTGTGGCTTTCCAAGACCCTGTCGCGGGGCTCGGCCCAGGGGCGCGTAGGTAAAAATGGGTGGAACTGTATACACTTAAGGTCTGTGCCTTTGTTATATATATATACCTCAGTTTAGAAGGAAGGGGGGAAAAGAACGACCCCTGGGCTCCCAAGTGCTTCCAACTTTCACAGATTCAACCATTTATTACATGGTGGACGGGTGTAGAACGTTGCACCTGGAAAGCTTTAGGGAGCAGGGTCCGGGAAGTCACTTTCTGCCTCCTCCGTGCAAAGCAGAACCAATCCTGCCACTGCCTATCACCATCTTGGCCAGAGTAAGATTTCCTGGATCTCACCTTCCTCGTCAGCCAAGTGCGGCAATCATCTGGAAGTCGAGCTTTAAAGGAGGCGACTAGGGCACATAGCACCCCGTCTGGCCCACAGTCTTCACCTGATGGCCTTTTGGTCCTTCCCTCGGAACAGCAGAGGAGAATGTCTTTGATAGGTCCCCAGAGAAGATCCAGAGGCTAATACCTACCCCCATCTCTCAATTACAGTCACCTGGAACGAAGGGCCCATCAAAGACAAAGCCTTGAGGGAACAAGTTTCGGCCATCAAACAGTCAAGGACATGAGGACTGAGAGGCAGTCCCCTCAAGCAGTGCATAATAACAGCTTAGAGAAAACACACTTGTAAGCTCCAGTCCTGAAATATGAGCTCAAGGAAAAGACGGAAACCTAGAGATCTCTTATGACAGTTCTTAAATATCCTCTTACCTTTTGTGTCCATAAGGCTGAGAAAGGTAGAAAAACAAATGCAAAATTTGATCCCCATGTTTGGCTGAATATCTGTGCTGGTGGTGGCTGTGTTTTCCATAGAAAGCATCGGTCAGGAAGCAGTGGGACCCAGAAAAGCAAAACAGAGATATATGGGAGGATTTGGAAACCTTGGAATTTTCTGAATTCTAAATCCTTAAAGAGCCTCCTTTGTCAGCTGAAACACACTGCCCTTCCTCCGGTCTTCTGAAACACTTCTTGAAGACACTGTCATTGCTTTGCCTGAAGGAGTCACCCTCCAAGAGAAAGCCAGTTCTCCGCATGCACTACCCTGTATCGTCTCCGGAAATGATCAGAGTTATATCCCAGCATGCCTCCAAAGGAAGGGCAATGGCAAACTCAAACCGGGGAGAATAAGGATTTGAAACCAACATTACTTCAGGATTTTTCTTTCTTCTTCTTCTTTTTTTTTTAATTTAAATTTCAGGTAAATGACAAAAATGTGTGGCTTTTTTGGGTCTTTTTTTAAAAAATTAATATATAACGTAGTATTTGTTTCAGGGGTACAGGTCTGTGATTCATCAGTCTTACACAATTCACAGTGCTCACCATAGCACATACCCTCCCCAAGGATTTTTCTCATTTTTACTGATAAATTGGGGGGGAATATGGGTAGGAATAGATTTTTAGGATGCTCAACAGTGGAGGGAAGAACATAAGTCTAAATGAGTCTCAATTTATTGACATACAATTGTTACAGAGGTCCTAGGGTTACTGTGCTAGCATGAGAAACACAGGACAGCAGGTGATTATCCCTAAAGTATTGAGTGTCATGTGTGACCCAGGCTGTCCATTATGTATGGGTCATCTAACACACTCATAAAATTCCATTGCTAATTGGAAATGGTTTATACGGACTGGGCCCGGACCCTGAGTGCTGGTGATGTTCCAAGGGCACCCACAGACTACTTAGTTGAAGACTGATTACTTTGGACCTCTTCCATTGTGGACGAGGCACAGATTTCACCCCACTGAAGCAGGCTCATATATCTGGATTTGCAGTTGCTTCCCTATCACTATGGCATTCTATGTGACGCTGCTTCTGACCATGGAATTCACTTTACCATCAAAGAGGGAAGGCAACGGGTGGATACCCTTTTGATTTGAGCCTATCACCCAGGAGCAGTGATTTGTTTTGAACTGTGACTTGATTTACTGCAGATATGGTTTCAGGACTAGCTCTGAGACAGTATCTAATGAAGTTGAGATACTGTCCTTTAAAACAAGTGTTCAGAACCAGGGATCAATACGTGGGGCTGTTTCTCCCAGAGCCAGACTAAGCAGGTCTGGAAGATGGGGGAGTGGGGATGGTGCCTGCTCCATTTTACCTAACAACTCACTCTCTTCACCTTTGGACCCCACCGGTTTAGAGGTTTTGAATCCAAAAAAGGAATGCTCCACTAATGGGGGAACTGGCAATTAGGGTAGCTCCATTTGGAAAGGGGAAGTATGAAGTTTCGATTGCATGAGGGAGAGCTCCATTATCTAAGCAGAAAGCTTTGTTTAAAAGTGAACAGAGAAATCCGTGTGTGTGTAGATGTGGAACAGCAAAAGAGTGAGACTAATAAATGGAATAAATTTGTTTTCTTTCTTCTTTTGGGTCTCCACTATCTGAACTCATTCCAAAATTTGAAAATCCATTTTTTGGTGAGTCTTGGTAGGGAGGCATGACCAGCTAGTTCATGGTCATACCTGGACACAGGACGGAAGCTCTGCCAGCTTAGATGTTACTGCCCAGAACTTTGAACGTGGAATGAGGACACAAAGAATCAGGGTCAGTTTAGAGTTCATCCCCACGGTGGTGGTGGTAGAACCAAGGAGAAGCAGTTTGAGGAGTGGTTTTCAGTCCAGGGACCAGCATCGGTGGCACCCAAACCGAGCTGCTTTTGAGATGCGAATGGGTCGTGGTCCCAGATCTCTAGCTTTCTTGGATCCAGCCCATTTTCAAGATTGTTTCTCCTATAGATTTTATGAGCTCCCAAAAGCCTTCCATTAAATTCCTGTCTAAGTTAGCTGGAGTTGGATTTGTTGTTGTAAACCATGAATCTAACTAGCCTATCTCATCTGGGCTCTTTCCTTGGCTTATACTAATATTAGGTAGGGGAGATGTTGGGACTAACTTTAGTTAGCTCTTATATTATCAACCCTGGCAAGAAGCGGCTTGGAGAAGGACTGAACACAGCTCATCCACAATAATATCCCCTTTATTGATATTAATCACAGTTATGAGGTCTTGTCCATCAGAAAGTTTGCATTATGTAGAACTACATACAAAGACATAAAAATACACATACACTAACCACCAAACCCATTAACTTCAACCAGTCAAAGCCCCTGAATGTCTTCCATTTTGATCATCAGTGCTCCAGAAGAACATACATAGACCCAGCATAAGGTTGGCTTTTGAGGTGTCAGAGCATTTACAGAGCAGGGTATTCACCCCTGGAAGCAATTCAACATGTAAACTCAGAGGGCAGGCATTGATAAACACAACACCTGAACGCCTGGGTCTTGGGCTGCCTGCCTTAATGGCAGAGCCCACTCAAGGTCCCACATACTTCTTTGACCAACGAGGACAGTAGGCCTTACTTAGCTCTGTTTGAAGCAGACAAATTATATCACCCCTACTGGAGAAACTATGTGTAGGAAAGAGCAGATTGGCTTCTAGTCTACTTCAAGTCATCCTTTGGAGTCATTTCAAGATGATGACTTGGCTAAGATTTACCCTACAAGGGGAATGTAAAAAATCTCTCTTTTTCTTCCTACGCCTTCTTCCTTCTTCATCCTAAGCTCTCCGGCCAAACTCCAGCAAAGCTTGCGATAGCCTAAGGGTTCAAGGTGAGGTTACAAGTCACATGGTCAACAGGGAAGGACCTATTGCAGATTCCCAAATGTCTTTCTCTCACTTAGGTTAGCTTAAGTGGCTCCCTCCATAACTACAAAAGGATTTGAGTTCCAACCATCCTCTGGTGTCCCCAAGTCTCTTGGAAAACTGAAGGCTATAAATTTATCGAAATAAATGTCTAGGGGATTTGGACACCATGACAAACCCCTTTGCTCTGGGATCCATAGAATGCAGAGGTTTCTAATCAAAGCTGCATTCACACTCTGTGTTCACAGTTGTCTGAATTCCCTAATTCCCTTAACATCAATAGTGTCAATTTTGCCTTAAAAAAATAAAAAATGAAAGAAAAAGGCTAACAGATTTCCTTCCCTTTGTGTCCCCTCCCATACAGCATCTCCTTCAGGGGATGCAGAGGAAGGCATATTTTCTTGGGCTGGCTGGACCTTGGAGAGTGGGTTGCTATGTTCATGACGTTCCAGTTCCGGTCTCATGGGTAGATGATCAATGGTGAACGATCAGGAGGGACAGATGAGAGATGTCCTGGCCATTCTGCTCTGAGTCACGAGGCAAAAATGCTTAGGAAGCTTCTCTCTTGGTAGCTTGCTCCTGTAGGTGGTGACCTTGAGAAGCTGCCACTGAGCCCAGTGACGGAGACTGAAAGTATGACAACAGAGATTTCCCTGATCTGGGTGTCCTTGGTAATCCCACCAAAGAAAGATTCTATGCAGTGGCCAAACAAAAATATGGAGTTCCGTGACACCTTGACATTCTAAATGAAACCAAGATCTCCCTCCAAAGAAGAGTAAAAACTGTCTTACTATAATCAGAGTCAATCAGGATAATGAGATGAAAAGGAGAGAAAGGAAAAGTGTTTTAATGTAAAGGAAGAGGCTTGTGGTCCCATTGAAGCCAACCATTGCAGTTTCCTGGTGCCATTTTTCCTGGGGTCCGAAGCATCTCAGCACTAGCCCAGGCCAACATCGAGGGACATCATCACCACAAATCCCACAATGGAGGCCCAGGAGGCCAGTTTCCCGTTACCACTAGGAAGGAAGGGAAGGAAGACCTTAATGCACTCTGGGACACCATCCAAGCTGAAAGCATCCTCTGTGAAGTCCAATTCCAATAGAAAGTACACCACTATGATTAATAAGAACAATAATATTGACAAGTAACACTTCTTAGGGCTTGCTAAATGCCAGGCAAACTAACTCATGTAACCCCAAAGGATGATCACATGAGATCGGTCGGCACTGTCATTATTCCCTTGTTACTGGTGGGGAAACTGAGGCATACAGAAGTAACTTGCCCAAAGATGCCTCTCGTGGCTCTGGAATATATGCTTGAATAATACAGAGTGGCAATTAAATTCTTGATGATATTATTGAGTCTGACCTTTTAATCTAGCCTCAACATCGTTCTGCTATAAAAACCAAATGAAACAAAGAAAGCAAGCCCCTACCCCCTGACACCCAGCCCATAGCAACACAATGAGACTATGATGGATAGCTTTGCCTATCAGAGCTCACCTCTCCCCTCATTGCAGCCCCAGAAAAATCCACAAAGGGACGGGTGGGAGAGAAAGGGACAATACACAAAATGGGGCTAATCATCTGGATTAGGGGAGTGTAGATGCCCCTGCCTAGGGTCAATGGTCGGTCTCTCCACCCGCCCTGCTCATCTCTTTCGTTTCTGAGAGCACATTTGAGAAGGGGATGGGGATGATCCTGGGAAGGGGCCGGAAGGGGTGGGAGCAAAGAAAGGAGTAACAGATGAAGAAAGAGAAGATCTGGAGGCTGGGGCCCTGGGACTGGGAACCTGGCCAGGGGGAGATGAGGGACGGTTCACTCTCCAACCTGATCTGAGCCTCCGGGATGATGTCGTCCATGACCACATAGACCATGGCGCCCGCAGCAAAGGCTAGGGCGTAGGGCAGGAGGGGCTCAGCCAGCACCACGGCAAAGGCGCCCAAGACCCCGGCCAGTGGCTCCACCATGCCGCTCAGCTGCCCGTACCTAAGGAGAGACCAGAGACACGTGCCACCAGGGGAGGGTCAAGCGGACACGCAGCCAGCATGCTCAGACTGCTGACTCAGCCCCAGAAAACAGACGCCTTTCCTTCCGCGTCGTATCTGAGCCTGGCAGTGCAAAAGGACTTCGCTGTGTTTTCAGCCACCGCCTTCTTCCCCGACCTCCTCCGACGTGGCAGGTGCCCCCTCCCGGGTGTCCCGTGGGGTTTTAAGTTGTCCCCACTGTCTGTTTTCCATAACAGCGTTATTGAGATCTAATTCACATACCATAGGGCACACCCATTTCATGTGTACAGTTCAGTGGTTTTAGCATAGTCACAGGGTTGCACAACCATCCCCACTACCTGGTTCCAGAACATTCTCATCACTGCAAAAGGAAACCCCATACCCATGAGCAGCCACTCCCCATGCCTCCCTCTCCCAGCTCCCGGCAACCACCGATCTGCTTTTTTGTCTCTACGAACGTGCTTATTCTGGATATTTCATATAAAGGGACTCATGCAATGCTGGCTTATTTCATCTCGCATAATGTTCTCAAGGTGCCCCCATGTCGTAACACAGTATCGGCGTTCACTTCATTCCTTTTATGAGTAATATCCCGCTGTACGGACACACCACGTGTTCTCTATCCATTCGCCAGCCGATGTCGGCGTTGTCTCTTGACGGGCAGGACACTGGTTAGGAGTGGTGCGGACGTTTCCCAAGGACAGCTGTGCCCGCTAGGTTTGGGGGTTTGGGCCACCTCTGCACCCCTTCCAAAGGAGCTGCACCCACGCCCCTCTGCTGACGAGGTGGACCTACCTGGCCAGGTATCTCCTGAGGGCTGGCCCCCAGTACCCCCATCTTGGATTAAGGTGAGATTTCTTCATTTAAAAGAAGAATCCCTTTATTTGAGCAGGTGGGTCTCTGTTGCTTGCAATCCCAGAAGCCCTGATGAAAATAGCAGCCCACGTGAGCCCTGAGGCTTCAGAGAGCAGGAGAGAAGCTGGTACCTGATCCCCACAGCTGAGCCAAGCCGGCTGTTGGGTTGAATACCAACAGACAGGGGAGCTGGGACACCTTTCCCACTATTCCGGGTGTGGGCATCTGGCAAGATGCACCGCCCGTGAGCCTCAATCTCTCTGTCTGTAAAATGGGGGTAGGAAACCCGAAGTGCCCTGGGGCATTTCCCTGTCCAGCTGGCCTCCCCAGTGACAGGACAGGGCTGTGAAGCCCCCCACTCCCCCCGCTTCTCCCTGGCCAGGAGCAGACAGCTGGCATGGGGGAGACACTGTCTACACTGCAGGACCCTCTAAGGGAACACCACTTCCTGACTTAGGCTGTGTGCACAGGTCGGCAGACCTCTGCAGCTCTGCGGTGTGGGTACAACTCCCAGGCTCGGCTTTGTCACTTCGGGGAAGAAAGTGAGTTTGACGTCAAGCCCAGACTGGACTGAGAAGAAAAAAAGTTCAGTCTCGGGGTCCAGACGCTGAGCACAAGGCCCCCCCGTTCCCTCACCTCCCGTCCCGTGGTGCCCCTCCTGTACGAAACAACAGTCACAGCTTTGGGGCTCCCGGAACTCACATTCGAACCACATCGCTAAGGCCATTTGCCCTGCCCTCACCCCGTCCTCTGTTCCGTAGACTCCAACAATGGAGAAAGAGACAAGAGAGGGTAAAATAAAATAATTTAAGTATGAGTAAGAACTTGTAAGTCATAAGGTCCCATAAAATGGAAGGCATTTTTCAATTGTTGTTATTAGCAGTCTTTTAAAACGCCCTCACTGTACATTCTAGAGTGGCGATTGTTTTAACAAAGAGGTATTCTGGGGCTTGGAGTCCTGAGTTGAGGGACAGATTAGACTTCTAGTCTCGGAGTCACCACCGAGAGCTGGTCATCTGACACTCTGGGCCACGGTTCTCGCCTCTGAAAACTGAGGACTCACCTTACGTGTCACTGAAAAAGTAACACTAAGGAATAGACTAGAAAGACCATGGGGACTACAAAAACACGTTTTCTGAGTGCAAGAGGCATCACCTCCCGGACCCTCCTGACACAATCCTGGTCTTCACGTTGACAAGGGTTCTGAGCCAGGCCAATGTAATGACTCTTGGAGACAGGCTGTGGTCGGATGGGCCTACGTAAAGGCGTGTGACATTGCGAGTAAACACTGGTTTACTTCCTACTCGACAGGGAGAAAACCCAACACTGAATGGGCACGGCGTGGCTACACCTGGAGGCATTTTGAAATAGGAAACATGACCACTGGGGCTGGTTTATGTAAAGGTCGAAGGTCAAGAGATGAGCTTCTTGAGCTTCCTTCTACGCCTGGGGGTGCAGGATTCAAACAGATTGTTGGCATTTTAGCAGAAGCTCCAGGGTCACTTCCAGGTCAGAGGAGGCGCTCTCGGAGAAAGAAGCCCGTATGAAGGACTGCTCTGAGCTTTACATCAGACACGACCCCGGCCTCTGAGAGCGGACACTCTGGAGCACTTACCAGAAGGCTCTCCAGGGGGAGAAGCCAGCCCCTCGCAAGGGGAGGCTGACAGCCAGGCCCTCTGGGAAATTCTGGATCCCGATTCCAATGGCTAAATTCCTGAAAGAGGAAGAAGGCACATGAAGGCAACACCCGCCCACACACACACACACACACACACACACAGGACCCCCTGGCCTAGACGCAACACCGTCCTTGGGTGTGGGAGATCCAGGTGAGACCCATGACAGGTGCAGGAAGGAGAGAGTTCAGGGCCTGTGTGGAGGTGCAGGGCACACGGAGACGAATGGGCTGATGCAGACCGTCTACCCCTTCCTGCTGTCCCTGGTCCCCAGGGATGCTCGATCTTTATGGGGCCGCAGTGAGCAGAGAACGTGCTGGCTGGGCATGAGGATGACCAGGGTCTGCCCCTTAGCCGCATAATTTTGTGCAAATCATTTACCGTTGGACATCTCAGATCCTTAGGAATAACACAGCCGGGCTTGCCCAGGGATGGTAACCTCTCCCAAGAAGGACTGCTCATGGCCATGTGGCCCAGTGACCTCATGCCTGTAAAGTTCCCAGCACGTGTGAGGCGCTCAGTACATTGTGGTTTTATTCCCTGCAGCATGGAGATGGGTACATGGCATTTTATTGAGAGGCAATCTCAGGAACGGGACAGGGGAGTCCTGAGCAGACTCCAACAGGGACACTGATCTCCTGGGCTCGGCTATCCCGCCGACCCTGCTGGTCTGGCCCGGGCACCACACTTCTTTGGGCCCCTGCGGTGCTCACCGAGATCCTCCCTCCTCTGCTCCTGCGGGACTTAGAGGGGCTGGGCTCTGGGAACTGGTCAGGCTCGAGGACAAACTGCCCACTATCTGCAGAGGGTGAAAAGGGCCAGCCTTGGGATCAGGGTCAAGAGTCTTACTTCTCACTTCTTGGGTCCCAGGTCTAGGAATCCAAACCCAGCTTTGGATAATACCGGCCAGCCCTGCTCGAGTCACAGGATCCTATAAGCTCCCACCAGCCCTGGGCACAAATACAGCTTGTTCTAGAGGCTTCTGCTATCCGTGTCATGGGGGCATTTGAAATATATTTCTTTTTAAGAAATGAACCTTAAGGGTCCATTTGCCAATATTTCATTGGCCCCTGCCCTGCCTTCTCAAACAGACCCTCAAAGGGGTCATCCTTTTCCCGACACTTTTCCAGTATCCCCTCCCCACTCCCAGATGGATAAGTGGATACAACCTTTCTTGACCTTTTGCAAAGCCCCGAATCACGGTTTCTTTCATGAGGAAGATCAGAGTGTCTGGCCAGTTCTAGTACCCCTCTCCTGACCGTGGAAACAGCCCTTTGTGGCGGGCTCGGTGCCCACGGCCATCGCCTGCCCCGCCCCATGCACAGGTAGGCGCACGCCGTCCCCCCAGCCTAACTCCAGAGTGGCCAGCCCCATGTCACCAGCAAGTCAGAGGTGGGGCTCCCCGTCCAAAGTCCTCACGTTGACACAGTACTGACCGCAGCCATGCACCAGGCGGGCTGTGGAAGCCTCCTCCACGTCCTGTCTGGGAGCCACCAACCTGATAAGCAGCACAGAAACCCCATTCTTCTATCCCTGGCAAGCCACATTACCTCGGCCCCACCCTGGCTCTGGTGTGGCACTTCCAGCCCAACCAGGTGCCACACCCTCGGGATCCTGCCAGGCCGTCCTCAGCAGGGCACCACCTTGCCAGGTGATCACCACATCTCCCCTGAGTGCTCCTGGGCTCCTTCACCCCCCGACAAGGTCCAGACTGCGGATTCTCCGCCCTTCCCATCTTCCTGTATGTCCCTTCTTAACTCGGCTCTGCTCTTCACGTGCATACACGTGCTCGCCCACCGCGTCCCCCTGCTCCGCTGGATGCCCTGCATCCGTGAGACTTCAACTAGCTAGGGGAGACTCAACAGAAGGACTCGGTCCCCTCTGCACCCCCTGTTCCACTTCGTCACTTGCATCAGCTCGGGACTGAATTAAAACCCAGAGCCCTCGGCCCTGGCCATGCACTAGCAAATGCCGATGCCTGGGCCCACCCTCGAGACTCCAGTGAATCGCTATGGTGTTGGGCTCCAGATCCGCAGACTTGGAAGAATGAGCTGACGGCACTGAGAGCCAATGACCTAAGACATCATCAGAGTGGGTGAGGACGAGGATCGTGGCCATGGCCACCTCCGAACCGGGAGCCCCTTCCCTGCTATCCTGGCACCCAGCAGCATGGGGGGGTGGCCCCAGGTCAGAGCTGAGGACACCAGCGGCTCCTTGTGAATGCACCAGCTGGCCTGCAGATTGGGTCCTTCCTGTGCATGAAACCCGAACTGGGGGGCCCTGGAGGGGATCCTGAAGAACAAAGAACAGAAGCAGCAAAGTGGGGGTGATGCTGGGGAGACAGACTAGTAACAGCAGAGAAGAAGAGTGTGGCTTGCAGGTGCCCAGGGCGAAGAAGCAGAAGGATGGCAGGGGCTCAGGCTGGCAGGGTTGGTCCCTTGGCAGCAGGAGCTCGGAGCTGACTAAGCAGGGGTGGGGGCTAGAGCAGCAGGCTGGGCTGCAAAAGGGCAGCCTTCCAGGAAGGAAGCCCCAGATGCACCCTCCCTCGTGCAGCCCTACTCTGCTCCCCCTGGGCGCCTGTGGAAGCGCATCCCCAGGGAGCGGGGTTTGGTGGGCCATCCCCTCCTGCGTTCAACTTTGGGGACGGAAAGCCCAGATGAGAGGTTTCCTTTCCAGGATGGGCTATGAAGATTCCAAACAGGGTTCAAAAAGCAAAGGGGAAAACCCAAACCTTGGCCTTCCCAAGACAGTGAAGCTGCCGTGTTCTGTGTTTTGTTCTTCCCGGAGGGAGCACAAAGACACCATCACCAGTCTAGACTGTGGCAAACGAGCGGCAGGGAGGTGGGGACGAAGGGCTCATTAAGAAAAGAAACCACAAGCTCTCCCCTGACAGCACCCCTTCCCTTTGGTGTCAAGCCAAGCCCCACAGTGATCTGTCACCTGAGCCGGACCAGGATTAACAGGGAGGGGAGAGAAAGGCCAGCAAAGGACGTCTGTGGGGAGAGCAGGGGCAGGGAGGAGAGAGGGCGAGTGGAGAGCAGGTGGGTGGAGGGGGGCCGGGGCCTGGCAGGTGCAATGCTGGCCCTCCCGGCTGCTAGTTAGGAGGGGCCTCCCTGCCCTTACCTTCAGATACCGCTGATCCCAAGAGATGAGTGACGAGAGGAAAGGCAATGCTGGTGGGCAGTTGTTTCTGCTTTTTCTTAGAGGCCTGGAAGCAACTAGAGGCCTAACCCCGTTTCCCCTCGACCAGGCCTGGCTTCTCATCTGCATCCTCCTCCTCCTCAGCCCCCAGAGTAAAAGTCAGAGAACATTCGGGTTACAGGGTCGTTGGAGGCCCCGTTGTTCAACACCTTCATGGTTAAAGGAGGAACAAAGGCACAGAGAAGCTGCATGTCTTTGGAGATGGTGTGACAGACAGACCTGGGGGGGGACGCAACTCGGCCTTCACTTTGTCTGCGAACCAGGCACAAACTCCCCTCCTTTTCGGGGTTCTTCTGTGGACAATCGCTGTGAAGTGCCGCTCACAGCTCACAGCCCAGAGCTGGTCCTACCATTAAAAATTGCCCGAGGTTCCTGAATGAGGCGGCACTCGGGCTCTGCTGTTCCCCACACCACCTGGTGACCTTCCCAACCCCATACGAACCTCTTCTCCAACTCATGCTCCTCAACCTTCTCGATTCTGTGACCTCCTCCTGGTCACAAGGCCAGCAATAGCAACTGACAGCCAGGTGGGAGCCCCCTTTCAAGGGGGACTCCGAATCCACCACTGAGCCCTGGCCGCGTGTGAGAGCTTATGTCATATGTGAAGAGAGATGTGGAGGGAGGGCGCCCCATCATCTTCAAGGAGTTTACAGTCAAATCGAGGGCAAAACCCCTGCCTACAAAGAACTACAGAATGTAGTCCAACTGGCTCAAGGCCGTAAGGGAAGCACAAAGCCCGCACGGAGAACATTCCAGTAGAGGAAGAGGATCTGAGACAGAACGTGACATTCAAGATGGACTCTGAAGGATGGGGACCCCTTTAATGGACAGAGAGAGATAAGGAGACACACGTCTTGTGGGAAGAAGGAACAGAGCAAGCCAGTGTATGAGATGGTAGGCCGGGCCATCCAGGCCTTCTTTCTTGCCCCTTCCCCAGTTCAAAGCCCACACACACACATGCACGCACACAGGACATGCGCAGAAGTCACAGCCCAGCTCTCCCAGACATCAGACTTGTAAAAACCATTCCTACGCACAGGAAAGCATCACAGTCCGCTGAGTCTGCTGGCTTTCGAGGGCAAACCTGAGTGCTTAGTGCCCCGGCCTCAGCCCCACCCCAGGGGTCGCCCCAAAGCCAAGTGTGGGGATGCACCCCAGTGGTGTTCAGCCCACGTCTGGATGCAGACTCCCCTGCTGAATGAGATGCCTGGAGGGTTCCCTTGAGACCCATTTATTGGCCATACCCACTCAGACCTCTCACTTAACATCTCGGGCCTCGAACTTGGGGAGAGCTTTCAGCGTGTGCCCTGTGGGCAGCATCACAGAGCACACAGTCCCCATGCGATGACCTGTGGCCAAAGTCAGCTCATCTCTCATCTCCCATCTCCAGATACTAGGCCTATCAGAAGGTGCCTAAGGTCCCCCGGCTGGAATAGAAACGATCATAATCATCCCTGCCATTTACTGCAGGCGATGGAAGGGTCAGGCGTGGTTGTGGGTGTTTTACACGTAGCAAACCCTTAGTCCTCTCTGCCACCTTGTGTTTCCTACCCTTAATATCCCCATTTCACAGATGGGGAAGCTGATGCACAAGCAGCTGTCCCCAAGGTCACCCAGCCACGGAGTGACAGTGGTCACATACTTCGGGTCCTCTGGGCCTCATGCAGACCCATCAAACCATCCCGGGCTCCGGTGCTGCCTTATGCCCACTCAGCAGTGACCTGCGGGTTGGGCCCACTCTGGAGGCAAGGGGAGCAGACCGGATTGAGGAGGTGTTAACCAGAGACCTCCAGAGTTAAGGGGGTTGGAGCATCTCTATAGCCGGGGTCCTCAGCCTTGCCACTATGGACGTTTTAGGTCAGATCGTTCTTTGCTGTAGGGGCTGTCCCGGGTACTGTGGGATGTGTAGAGGCATCTCTGGTCTCTACCCACCAGATGCCAGGAGCATCCTCCCAGTCCTGACAACCGAAAATGTCTCAGACACTGCAGAACATCTTGGGCGGGGGGGGGGTCTAGGTGGCAAATCACCCCTGCTTGAGAACCACCGACCGAGAGTAAGCAACAGCTTAGGAGAGCTGACTTCTTCACCAAGTATCTGAACACCAGAAAAAATGATTTGGACCCAGCAAGGACAATATCTGATCTCATTCATCTCATTTGAGAATTTCTAGGCTCGGCAGAGTTGAGTCTTCTCGGGAACTTAGCGGTGGCAGGACAGACTTCTGGGATTCAGGGTACACTCAACACTGGGAAATGACCGGGCCTCTGCTCCCTCATTCCTAAGGCAGTAGCTCTGGGACCCTGGAGTTGCACGATTCTGGGGGAACCGTGCACATCGTGTGCTCTGTGAGTGGAACCCCCCGGAGTTGTGCAATGGGACATTCCTGCTTGAACCCCAACCAGAGGTTATTGCTCAGCAATGGATTTAGTTCTGTGGTTGGAGGCGAGGTGTCCCCAGGGAGGCTACTACGGGAGGGAGAGTCAGCGATTTCCCTGAGAGTTGGCAGGTGAGCGTCCTTGCAACCCGCAGCGTGCTCTCCAGGCTATGTTCTCTGGCCCGCCAATAATGAAAGGAGAACAGCATATTCCTGACAAGCCCCGCTTCACCCGGGCCCTCAGATCCTCCCCTGGGCCGCGAGCGTGTGTGTTCTTGTGTGGCAGGCCCTTACATACTGTTTTGATCGTTATCTTCCTGCCCTGAAAGGCCTGAGTGTTCAGGCTCAGCGGTGACATCACCAGCTTCCCACTCGGGCTGCCACTGGAGGTGTTTGATGAGCCTGCAGGTGGGAAGGGGCTGGATGCTCCCCGCGGGGCTGCCGGGGCCCTACCTGCTCCGTGGAGCTGGCTTAGCACGGAAGGGATCTTCCCCCACCCCCTTCGCTCGGTTTTGGGAGGCTTATTGCCCCAGGCTGGAAAGCCAAGATGACCCATCCTTTCCCTTAAAGTGGGCGGCCCTTCTCAAAGAGAGCGGGGAAGAGCCCCAGGAAGTCAAGCCACAGGCAGGGTGGCGTAGGAGGGTGATTCAGACCACCACTGCACACCTCTCCTTGAGGAATAGCCTCCTGGGGCTGGAGGGGATCTCTCACTCCCCAAGGGACGCCCTGGGGATCCTCACCTGCCAAGTCTCCCAGCAAATAAGTCAGTCCTCCCTACAGGCCAGATAAGAGGCTGCCTCCACATGATTTAAAAGCACCTGGGGGTATGGACCCCAGAGCAGCGTGTTTCCATACTCATAAAAAGGCTCTACCAGGTTCCTCGTGGCTGTATCAGTAGCCCCCAAGCCAAAAATTAAGCAAACGCCCATCAAGGATGGAATGAATAAAGCGACGGTGGTCTGTTCCCCCCGTGCAATAGCGTTTGGCAACGAGAACGGACGATCTACAGCTACGTGCAACAGTAGGAGCATCTCAGAGGCAAAATCATGAGCGAAAAAGGCTAGACACAAATCATGAATTCTGTGGGCTTCTAGTCACATAAATTCCCCAAATGGGACAAAACCGAGCTACGTCTTCTTATCTGCTAATTGATAGGAGGCGTCAGAGGCCAAAAGCAACAGTTGATTGGTGAGTTCTCCTTTAAAGTAATTGATTTTTAGGGGCGCCTGGATGGCTCAGTCGGTTTAGCATCCGATTCTTGGTTTGGGTTCAGGTCATGAGCTCAGGGTCCTGGGATCGAGCCCCACATTGGGCTCCCTGCTCAGGGAGGAGTCTGCTTGTAGATTCTCCCTCTCCCTCTGCCCCTTGCCCAGCTCTATCTTTAATAAATAAATAAATCTTAAAAAAAAACCTGATTTTTAAAAACAATGCATTCTAGCAGAGAATGCAGATGCTCTCAAGGTAGGACTTCAGGTCCTGGGTGGGGGTCACACTCTGGGGACAAGAATAACTTCCTACTGCCTTTTAATAAAGACGTTTTATCGCAGCTGATGTACATGCAGAGAAGAGCACATACTCTAAGAGTTCTGCTTGATGAATTTTCAGAAACTTACTGATCATCACGAAACCCACACCTAGCTCAAGAAACAGAACATGCTTAGCACCCCATGAGCCTCCAATCCCGGGGTCCCTGCTCTCCAAGAGGAGCCCCTGTCTTCACTTCCAATAGCTCAACTTGGTCGTGCCTGCTTGGGGACATTCTGTGAATAGTTTAGGGGGCCCTACAAGACCCAGGTGGAGGATCCCATGAGGGTTATGCGTGCTGAACACTTTGCAAACTTGGCATGCGGGCGGTGTCCCCCCAGCCATAGGTTTGGAGACCCCTCGGTGTAGGGTCTTTCCTGGGATACCTCTGTTCTTCCCCCTGCCATCCTTCACTCCAGTCTCTCATTCGCTGATTGCTCCAGTCACTCCAACTGCAGGATCAACATTTGAGGGGAGGGGATGCAACAAAAACATTTTGTTCTCCAGCACAAAAAATACCATTGCAAGTCACTAAAAAATTTTCCAGCATTTTGGTATTTTCTTCTAAAGAGCTTTAAGTAAGTGCCTTTATAAACATTTATTCTTTCTTTCACTTAGGGGGTGTAAGTTCATTTTCCATTTTGTAGACAGAGTAACCAAGGTCCCACAAAGGGGGAGGTGATAATCTGAACACGGCATGGGGTCACTGCAATAAGGCAACCTGTGCTGGGTTCCAAGCCTTCCCCATACGCCATCTCTGTATAAAACCATGGAAGGCGGGGAGAAAAGTGGCCAGTGACGGCTTCGGGGAAGGAAGACCACAAACCTTGATGTCATTCTTGGCCACTCTCTCTCGCTCCTCACACACAACCTGACGGAATCCTGGGGATCTATCCTCCAAGCCTGTACAGATCCAGGCACTTCCTACCCCCTCCACAGCTACGCCCAGGTGGGGACCGCCACCTTCTCCTGCCTGGTCTCCTTGCTGTTCCCACTGCCCCTCCCGTTTGTTCCCTCCACACCTGCTCCCTGGCTTGAAACTGCTGTGGCTACCCCTTTCACCCAGAGGTAGAGCCCAGGTCCTTCCCCTGGCTTGCTGCGACCTACATGTCCCTGCCCTCTGTCCTCTCTCTGACCCCCTCTATTCCTCTTCCCTGGCTCCTTCCACTCCAGCTGTCTAGTCTCTCTCTCTACCCTTCTCTCTCTGCATGCTTGGTTGCTCCTGCTTTGGGTGTTTCTACTGGAATATTCCTCCT